CAGAAGGGATGATTGAAATAAAAGCAAGTAAGAACAAGATAAAAAGTGATTAAAATTGAAAATTGGATTTGGTTTAAAAAACAAAAAAAAGACAAATGTTATTTTCCAAGCGTGCTCGCCCAGCCATAGCACTATCACCACCCTGTTTCAATGGCCATTGGACCAAAGCCTATTTGTTGTCAACATCATGTTGCATTATTTGAAATTAATATTAATTTCACTTTCTACTAGTTTTTAGATATTACAGATATTACTGTATTGGAAGGGAAAGAAGTGAATCGCTGCGACCCGAGTTTATTCCCCCAAACATTTTTTTCCTTACCTGCGACTTGTTAATGCAGCACCTTCTCATCTGAAACGGTCCATTGCTGTGGTGGATACAGATGTTGACAATACTGATATTCCCATGTAAAAAAAAATAAAAAATTGTGGGAACATAAACGATTGGGTTCTTTTGCAGTTTTTGAAGGCAGCAGTTTTGTGACCCTTACAGGCCCAGCGCCGCCCAAATGCCACATTTGGGCGGCGCTGGGCTAGAATGGCTAGAAGTGTGACTGATGGAGGCGAGATGCATTTCCCTACAGAACATGTGAATGTCAGCTGTTTGACAGGAAAAAATGGCCTCAGTCCACTTGGACCTCAGAGCCATGTACTGCCGCTGCTCATAGGATCGTTAGTGGTGTGTGTGTGTGTGTGTGTGTGTGTGTGTGTGTGTGTGTGTGTGTGTGTGTGTGTGTGTGTGTGTGTGTGGGGTGGGTGTGTGTGTGTGTGTGTGTGTGTGTGTGTGTGTGCGCGCGTGCATGCGTGAGATGATGGGTGGTTTTGTGGCGGAGCTAACGACTTCTATAATGGCATCCAATGATCCTTGAGGTGTTGACCGTGATGCTCTGTGATTGAGGGTTCTCCTTCAGTCATGCATCAGGCAGGTAGGGTCAGGCGCTTCGAGAAATAAACTTTTGTAGGGTGGGGATTTTTTTTTTTTTTTTTTTCCATTGGTTCGGTTACCTCCTGTTTTTATTCATTGTTGTTTTTTTTTTTACTTATTTTGGATATTCAAACTATCTTCAAGTTCCGGTGTGGCGTGTTCTTCACTAAATTAAAGTTTATTGGACTTTGTGAGGGCAAACTTGCATTACTACGCTATTATCAATGTATTAGTTGAAAATTGTTTCAGATGACAATATTATCGTTTATCATAAATCATTTTTGGAATAATTTATCGTCCAGATAAATGAATCGTGTCAGGCTTGCTGTAGCTTTTGATGTGGCCTTCTGGACTCTATAGAGGCACATCAGTAACATAACCGTTCAGAACGTTATTTTATCGCTCAAATCGTTCTGCATACGGCCAAATTTCTGTCAGTCATTTCTGCTTTTTGTGATTCTGCGAAAGAAGTCGAACTGTTAAATGGAAATACACAAGAAAAAAAATACACACCTCAACCTTTAAGTATAACCCTTCCTTATCTGTCAGGTTTCATTAAACCATCAAAATGAGTTGATTCATAATTCAGTGAATCATCATCATCAACTGTCTTGATCAGTTTAATCTGCATTAAATTAATGCTGTCAGTCACTGTGGTTTATTTCACAATAAACGTTCACTCTCTGTGGGTCAGGTTCATGGAGAACTTCCTCTTTTTTTTTTTTCTCCAAAGAGTTTTAGCGGCGCTAGTGGCTCATATTTCTTACAGTAGACAGACAGGAAAGAGGGTGAGGAGAAGGGGGAAGACATGCAGCAAGGGTCGCCGGGACCGGGAGTCGAACCCGCAACGTTCGCATTGAGGCCTCCAAACGTGGGGCGTGCTAACCCCCTGCGCCACCACAGCACACCCTGATCTTCTGCTTTGTGGTTCTGCTTCAGACATCTTGCATAAACATTCAACCACTTCGCTCTTCTTTCCCCTCTTGTCATGTTACAACAGCGAACTCCAGCTCGTATTGTTGGGATTTTGCATGAAAGAAACAAACCATGTCTGTACTATTTTTATGCATTTCAACTATATATAAGGTTTTGAACTGTGTGCAGTCAGTTCTGAATATAGGGGATGTTTTGCTGTAATTGTGTGTAAATACACATTTAGCAGCACAAACTGATTAACGGTGTTTATCAGATGTTAATTGGTCAGTTGTTTTTTGTTCCGTTTCTAAAAAGCAATCTTCTTTTATTCTTAATTATGTTTTTCATCATCAGAGAACAAAATGTCATTCACCTACTGACCGGTTCTGAGGATTTTCAGCAGCTAAGAGTGTGTCTGATTTAATTAGGACGTCTGTTGACTCATTGTGTGGGCGTTTGTTGTGAATTGTTATTGTTCAGTGAAAAAGAGCTGAATCTGGATTCAAATTCGTTTTAAACGTTAAACCAGAGGTTGTCGGTATTTTTTGGCTCTTTTACGTGACGCCTTCAAGTCGGGTCAGACGAGCCTTCTTCTACGTGTGGCTTGGTGATGGTGCTACCTCTAAAGGCTCAGTTATGTCCATGTGCAGCTGAATTAGGTTTGAAGTGAGAAGAGATCAGATTCATGTATTAGGAGTCAAAACTGAAAGATTAAGGTAGAAATGCTCCGCCACAACTGAGGTCTGGACTCGACCTCAGTTGTCGAGTCCAGCCAACTGAGGACTCGACAACTGCAAGCCCCTAATCCGTGGATGGATTAGGGGCTTGCTATCTTGCCAACCCCTAGAGTCTTGTCAAAAATTGAAAATGGTGTTTGAGATGTTGTTTTTTGTAAACCCATGGGCTAATCGACAGATGCAGTGTGCAGTACTGTAAGCACAATACCCAACTTGGCTTGTATCAGGAAGTGCGTACTATGGAATCTGACTGAACCTTTAAAATGCTATAGGAACCACGAGAGAGCTATGAAATACCCAGTTTTAAATAAAAAATTTAGCCAACTGTGCTAATCAACAGAAGAACAGGACATCACTGAGTCTTTAGCAAAAAAGCAGCAAAAAATATGACTAAGCCAGTTCACGGCTGGTGAAAATAAAACTTCCTCAATGGCATTACAGGCCTCCGAACTGAAACTTACAGAAACTATATGGGGTGAACAGAGGAGGAGACCGGACCCAGGACTTTGGACCAATCACCACAGAACAATGGTTCCAGATTCTCTCTCCTCCTGTTCCAACCTTGTGAAGCCTCAATGTGCAACGGAGTTGGACAATGAGACAAGCACATTAGAAGAAGGTGCTATGCTCAGATGAAATGGCATGAACGACAGAGCTTCATAGATTCCTGTCATCCACGCACCAAAACACACACACCCACGCACACACACACACACACACACGTTCAGTACAATCGCACTCAGAGTAATTCCTCATTTATTATTTAGTTCCGATTACTGAACAAGCTTTGTGACACACACAAATCAAATATTTATAACCTGTTGAACATAGAGAGGGATCAACATGTCTCGCAGGTTATACAAGGAAAGGGACCAATAGTTGTTAGAATAAGACACAAAAATGAGGTCAGAGGTCAAGACTGCCGGATAGTCACCCTGAGCTGAGAGGAAATGAACTTTCAGATTATCTTTGTTATCATCTAATAGCAGAACGATGCATATCAGATCACAAACATAAATAGGCAGACAAACTGTAAAAAAAGAAGAAGAAAAGAATAAAACAAAAAAAGAGGAAGCTGTATACATAAGTGCAAACTTCCCACTTCTTAAATATTTGTGCAGGTCGTGAAGATTATTTTATGTTTAACATGGGAAGAAATATCTTCTTATAAGTTCAATAATCTGCGAAAGGAACGAAAAATTGATATGAAGAAATGATTGGCTTAAAGCAAGCTAAAATATCTTGCTGAAAAGTTACTTGTTAGTTTTTGTTTTATTTCAAGCACATGAAAACTAGAACATACTAGAAACTAAACCAAAATTACTTGGTAAGATTTTGTTTTTGCACATTTGCAGAACTGAACGTTGTCTTTATTTTTTAGAGCTCGATGAAGATTTCCTGTTTCAAACAGGAAAGGACTATGCAGGGTTTGTCTAGTACTATGTACCTTTAATGAGGTACAAACTGCTAGAAGTGCAAAAAAAATAAAAAATGTAAATATAATTGTGTTCCAAATTGTCCAGCAGGACAAGAACCAGGCCCTTTGTCCTTATGTGTCCGACTGGAATCGGGACAGAGAGGTTGCAGAAGCACTGGAGTGTTTCTTTTTCAATCCAATAAGGACTTTGATTCAACCATTGGTTGTTAGCCTGTTGATAAAATTAGTAGATTAGCTCAAAATGAACAAGTCGGGCACCACCTGATTATCAGGGATGTAATAGCCACATGGTTCAGTCTCAGTTATTGCCTATAAATGTCTGTCTGCTGAGGCTCCAATATTGAAATAAAGATTAATGAAGCCCAGCATTCTTCAAACAGCAACACTAAATTATGAGACAGCTTCTGTACACGAGTTTATTAACTAAAAGAATACAACCTACAGTTAAAAAAATATACTAAAAAGTAAATACCAAGATCTCACCAAATCCTGTTGCCTCTACCAAAATGGCTGATTAAACAGACAACCAGAAGCTAGTTTAAACATTGCTTTTTTTCTTTTTTTTTTGTTTGCTATCTCTTTCAAGTCTAAGCACCATTAGTAGCTATAATTGTTTTTGAGCACTTGCGGCTTGTCAAGGCTGACCGTGGCACGAACAGATCTTTAGCTCGTTGTAGAGCTATTTCAGATAAGCTAGCAAATGAAAAAAATAAATAAATAAGAAAAAGATTTCAAAATATCAGTAATGTAGACAAGCTCATCATATCAGTGATGAAACCACTCAGTGGAGTCAAGTTTGAACAGTTTGAATCACCGATAGTCTTGGCTCCTGCTTGTTTTCGCTCATGTTTCTGGACTCTCAGTACCATAGCAAACCAGAGCCATCCATCCGGTATGCTAGCTCTAAGGCTAGCTCCGTTTGGAACAGTTTTTAGCATCCACAACGCAAAAACACATAGAAATACACAATGAGGCAATACTTAAGTTGCTTTTTCCTAACTAATTTACCTCTGTATAGACACAAACCTTACTTCAACAGTTTCTAAGAACCAAAGATATTTATGGTGAACATAAAGGGCAGTGGATGGGAGCGCTGTTTGCGGCGCCACGGTTAGCCTCTTCTAGCTAAGAGTTGCTTGTCTCTAGCTAAGGGAAAAAAATGGCGGCTGAGGCTCAGCTGCCAGGGTTTTATTCCTTTGATGGAATAAAATAGAAGACAACTTCTTTCATCGACTGGCCTGTTAATATGATGTTGCATATTCACTCAGTGAAACTCCTCCTCCTGCTAAATGGAAATGCATTGTGGGATTCATAGTTCTTATTTCAGTCCCTTTGATCTTCTTCAATGCTGGAGGCACAGCACACATGCATTCTGTCCCATGTTGGACCTGTTGCATCTCTGCGGTGGTGTTGTGACATAAGGGGCATTTTGGGGGGAAAAATCCTAGAACACCTTCAGCTTGACTTGTTGGTTCTTCTTCATGTTGTACTGTTCTCTTAATTAGTGAGAACTAGTCCAGGCACATCGTATTTGTCGCACTTGAGCTGTTAACTTCTTTCGCAAGCTAACACCTCACTCGATAAGATCGCATTTCCTTCCCCGATTTTTTCTGTCTTCTGATTTGCACTCCCCGTAGTCGTCCATACCGTTTGCCCTTTGTTAAAGTCCAGCCTCTTGTTCCGTAGAAGGCTCAGGGCCTGCTGACGAAAGGTCCTGTCCAACAGGAAGTACATCACGGGGTCAGTGGAGGATCTCAGAACGGCAAGCAGAAACAGGCAGTTCTTTAGCTGGAGAGAGAGAGAGCAGAGAGAAGGTGATGCTATCTGCTTTCAAGTGAGAGATGGAGGTGGAAATCAGTTACCTCGATGAAGACGCTCAGGGGGTGACAAGAGGTGGAAGAACAGGATGGGTGCAGTGAAGAAGACTGATAATGAGCCAGCATGATGAAGATGGGTTTGAAGATGTGATATGGCAGAAGACACACAGACAGGACAACCTGCACAGTTAAAAAAAAATTAAAAATTTTTTTAATTTCTTCCTTTCAAAGCTACCAGGATTTCTATTCATCCCATGCCGGTTTAGAGCAGATCCTTCCTCACAATGAGTTCATGTTGGTTTCTGTAACAGATTAACCAAAATGGGGGTGTGGGAAAATGTCTACACGGATCAGAAAGACGCAACATTTGCTGATGGTTTTCAGCTAACGTATCTTTGCTAATCACCTAGTTGCCAAAGTACAATATGTGTCAAACCATATGGTGTCACTATGCAACAAGTTGCTGTAGCAGTATTCACATGCTTTTACTGAGTGAAGAATAGAAAAGAGATTAAAAAAAATCTAAAGCATATCAGTTCAGAAATCTACCGTTTACACAAGAGTTGTCCTTCCACTCGGAATTCCGACTTCCCAATAGGGAAAAGCAACTTCAATTCCTCCGAGATTGGACTTCCCACTCAGAAAGTGGGAAAAACTCTAACTACCCTCAGTCAGGATTTTAAGGCGGTTTCTCGCAGCAACAGTTGAAAGCTGAGTCGCGAAAGAAAACTAAAGTCAGTGTCACGTTACACTGAACAAATGAAAGTGATGCTCGCTGATGAACAGCAAAGCTTAAAATCATGTTGATAAAATGCAGTGCAGACAGTGCACTTTGGTGTCATTATGTTCAAATTCTGACATCTTCAACTATGTTAATTGGATCTCCGTCATTTATGGTCAAACCCGGCTCCTGGTTCTGTCTTCTGAGGCAAAGAGAAAGCCTCAACAGTGTTGTTTCAGCTCTTTATTAAAAAAGTCTTCTGCAAAACCTTCAGAAGCTCCTAAAGATCATTGGGCTTTTGAATAAAAGTTTGATGAAAACTGTGTTGCTTAACCATGACTCGAGACCTGAAAGTTTGACTCATCACAAACCAGAACATAATGACGATGAAACTTAGTTCTGAAAGAACTCATAGTCACCTGGATGACCACAATGTTTCTGGAAACCCGCGCCAGCAGGTTCTGTGAGCTGGTGATGTTTGCGTTGCGGCGCGAGCGTTTGATGTGCTTCAGGACGGTCACGTACGAGACCAGCACCAGCAGGTAGAGGAGGAAGAACAGAATTACAAGGGAAACACTGGTGGTTGAAGAAACGCTGCCTCCTATTTCCACCACCAGGCTGTAGCACACCTCCTCACTTCTTGTAGCTTCGTTTATAGAGTAGTAAACAGTCACCGGAACAATGGCGCCCACCGCCACCACCCATAGAATGGCGCACACCCCGTTTGCGAATGAGACCCGTGTGAGGCTGGAGAAGAAGCTGTGGGGCAGCAGTGAGATGCAGGCGCTCGGCCGGGAGGCGTGGGTGTTCCGAATGAGCACAGCGAACCGGCTGAGAGCCACCCAGGTGAGGATCAGGAGGCTGATGTAGATGTTGATGTGGAGCACAGGGGTGATGCCGTGCAGGACTATCTGACACGGGATGTCCCTTATGGACCAGTGCATGCCCACGGCGAAGTACACCGCCAGGAAGGGCACCATGATGGCCATCAGCAGGTTAGAGATGCTCAGGTGGGTGAGGTAAATGTGTGTGGGGGAGATGGAAGGGATGCAGCGCAGGAACACCCACAAAGACAGCAGGTTCCCCGGCAGAGCGGTGAGGAAGAGGAGTGCGTAGATGGAGGGGAGGAAGTAGAGAGTTGCTGCTGAGGGACACAGGGGACAGGAGGCATTATGGAGTGAAAGTTGAGACGATGGGTCCTCCATTTAATCTGAAAGAGAACAAATGGAGATCAACTTTAAACAAAAGTCTTCATAGTTCTTTCCCGTTTTTAAACCACAAACTTATTTATGTTTGATTTAAAATTAATATGAATGTGTCAAGCAGCTACGATGTTGTGTGAAGTGAATGGAAAAGAATAGATGATTTTCAAAAGATTAGTATCAAAAAGTAGAACTTGCATTTGTATTCAATCCCGTTGTTGAGAATGTTGAGTTGACACAACCAGTTGCAATGATGCTACTCGTCACAGCAACTTGAAATGGGACAGGAACCTAACTGGCTCCACAGACTTCCCATCAACCATTAGGACTGTGAGAAATGAAGCAATCTGTCACGAGAAATGTAGAGACCCGATCTCTTGACTCTAAAACTCCAACCCTTCACAGACAGTACGTAGAGAGTCTGTGCAGCTCACAGGGTATGCATGGTGTTCCCAAGTAAGTGGGAGCACGACATGTGCAACATACAAAGTGTGTTAGCTAGCTGTTTTGTCTTACTAAGCACTCAGAGGTTCATAAGAGAGCCTTGGTGAACAAGTATCTAACATTACCTGGTCATGGAGTCAGAAAGAATCAATGTAACTTTGACTCTTTTGTCACTCTGACATTTAAGTAAAGTGTTTTATAGTTAAAAACAGGATGTGGTCTTCTTGTGTGTAAATTTGAGAAGCACTTGTGGTTGTGGTAAGGTCGTTTCTGTATCATGCCGGTATAGCAGAAGATAAGAGTGTTCAGAGACTGTCTGTCTGACCAACACACGCGCACACTGTCTGTTTTTGTTTGTGCTACGGGAAATTTCTATTGTTTTTCTTCATATCGCATTTTGGATGTCTTTTATTTTCCAGACTCGATTTAATTATAATTAATAAAACATAAAATTGGAAAAAAAAATAAATTAATTGTAATAAGTTGATCCAAGAGCCAAAGACACAGACTGGGTCTACTGTGTACAGCAAACCAGTAGACCTCCCGGTTGAGTTTTGTTATTTAGCTACTGAGAGTCCCTCTATGTATTCCTGCCTCTTGTCTGCAAGAGTGTTTAGGTTAGCATGACTCCTTTCTTTCCTGTTACAGAGAAAAACTTTTACTTTAAGGGAAGTCAGAAAGAAGTTGCCACCAGTTTCAGGTGAATCCTTTTCTGGATCAAACATGAACTCTCTCAGAGTTCATGAACTCGCTGACAGCCCAGCGATTGAGTTAGGATCTGCTCTGACCTCTAACCCAACGCAGGCTGGCAGAAAGCATGGCAGGTTAGAATGAACGTAATTAAAACCACCAATCTTCTTTCTCTATTGATGTTGCACGTCGTGCTTAAAAACAGGTTTTAGCAAAGTCATTCTAGTTGCCCAACATTGTTTCAGAGGGGAAGAGCATTTTTCTAACTCTAGGCTGGTGAAACGAGACGTGCACTGGACACCTCAGGGGGATATTGGAGGAAAAAGTAGCATCAAAGTGGTGCTAGCCTAAAGGATAAGTTAATACCACAACAATCTTGTGCTTTTCTTTTCACCTGTCAAGGGACAGCAGATTGTCTTATGCTAAAAATTGGTACGGCTCATCAAATGGTGACATTTGTTTGAACTGTACGTTCAAACAAATGTACGTTGTCCCCTTTCTAAATAAAGTTTATCACTATCAGTGACCTTACAGAAGCAGCTACCTGTCAACCTGAGGTGGGTCGCGAGGCCATTTTTAACCCTTTATACTCCAACATTATTATACGTGAGGTTAAAAGACAAAAAAGATCACTGGAAAGCCGAGCAGTACGATGTTGAGACAAATGTACAAAAAACAAAACTGCAGACTTCAGTGAAAATGTACAGTTTTATAGTTCATACCAGGACGGTTTAAAAAAAAAAGAAACAAAAAGAAAAGCAGAACAGCTACAACTTGTTAGGAAGACTTCTTTTTAAATTATGGCAGCGCATTATGTTTTTGCCAGCTTGAATCTGCATGAACTGTCGTTTGCAGAGTTTAGACCGAAGTGCATATGGTTGACATTATGTATAAGTCAAAGAGTGGATTCCAGCTGTTAAGCATGGTGGTGGAGGGGTGATGATTAGGATTTGTTTTGCACCTGTGAGATAGTGTGAGATAGTTAAACACGCCCGGCTTTACTTGCAATTTTGCTCAAATGCTGCGGTGCATTCTATTTCTGCCACTTACTTAAGCATGCAGCGGCACTTACATCAGTAAGTGTGAACAGGCAATATTTACTGGCGTGTGCAATTAAATCTCACACATACTCCTCCCTTGCTCTTCTGCGGTGAAACGTTAAACTTGAGAAAAGCTAAATAGGAGAGGCTGCTTAAGTCCAAAATAATATTCCAGTAGTGTCTGGTTCTGCAGCCTTTGAACGTTGAGGAGTTCTTGTTTTCTCTATCACCACGAGTGACAGGCGAGTTTTTGCATTGATAAATCTTGCCACCATGCAAAGTGTGGTTTGTACTTACCTGTGGTCTCAGGCGGGACAGTGTCCTCCTCGCCTCCAGCCAAGCATTCACAGGTATAGACAGAGGGACAGCTGCTCTGGAGCCAGCCACTCGACACTGAGATCTCAGAGCTTCTTCCTCTTTGTCTACCACTGAGCATTTATTGTAAACACTACAGAAGTGGGCTGGTTAGTCAGCAAGCCTCAACCTTCATTTTACTTCATCTAAATTTATTTCAACTTCAAACGGATCCAGATAGAGCAAACAGAAGGCGGCCACTGAGTTATTTCAGGTTTTGCTGTGCATTGTTTTTCTGTTGTTTTTTTTTTTATCAACTAGCTTCCTTCTTTTGTTGCAGAATTACATTTTTCCCTTCACCCAGAAGACTGTTCTGCTGAATATCAACATAGCACAATAGTAACTTTATTTCTTCACATGAAATGCAACGTCACACTTTTGCTTTACTCGTCCGACCTCACATTTTAAAGCCGTCTCCATTAGTGCAGGACAGACACTTATCATCACTTTAACCCTGCAAGCATGCAGTGGAGAACATTTATGTTTCACTGTGGAGCTTCTGAAAGCAACACAAAAAAATGAGAGTCAGATTAATCTGTTTGGGAACTTTACAGTTTTTGTGAGTTTTTTTTTTTTTGTTTTTTTGAAAGACAAATGCTGTCCTGCACACAGATTCTGACACGAACCTTTAACCATGGCTTTTGATCTCTTATTTCACTGTGGGCGTACATTTAAAGGAACCACTTCAGCATCTGACTTCCTTTGACAATCTAAGATGAAATAAAGACGATGACTGTTAACCTCCACTGGTTTGGGTCAATCTCCCGACCCCAAAATGTTTAACCCATGTCAGAGTTTAAGGGATATTTTTATGAATATTTAGGAAATGTTTTTAAACTTCTCAATATAGAAAAGGTATTGAAAAAACATTTGCCTTGAAACGAGCATATAAGCATAAGTTTGTTCATTCTAATTGACCTAAAACAGGAAACGATGTGAGGTTTTTATCGAGTGTATGTAAACAACTAATGAGTTACATTTGCTGAATGTAAAAATATGTGTGTAGTGCATCATGGGCGAGTGAAAGCTGAGGGATTTCTGTGACATCCTACCATCGTCCTGAAGGGGGCGATGACGTTCCAGCTCCGAAGCACTAAAGAAGGAGTCGGTGAAGAGTATCACTTTGCATATGGTTAAAAAAAAGAAAAAAAGTATTTAATCTAGATATTTATTCAGTCTTTATGAAATATGATCGTCTCCTTGTCAGTTTTCTACCAATACTGAAGAATATGGTCCTTCATTCAAAAACATAAATAAATGTATAAATAAAGACTCTGACAACTGAGGGGTGATCTGCACACACTTCAGAAATACAGATCACTTCAAATAAAACAGCAATCATTTATACTGATTCCTGTACACAACTAAATTCAGCTCAGAGTTGAACTCATCCGTGCTCAGTTTGGTGTAAACTGTTAAAACTTGCAAGTACAGGTTGGTAAATGCAGCACAGACTTTTTAAACACGAAGACAATCAACGTCAGTGTCATCACGCAGAGGATGAGCATGCAGCTAAGCTGAACTCCTTCAGGCGCTGCAGACTCAGTAAAGAAATGTTTTGGCTTCTGTACGCCCCCCAAACCCTTTCGCCCTGGGCAGACAAGCATATTATACATAATAAAAAAAAATAAAACAGCGCCTTTGATTAATAAGCCCTTCCTCACGTCTCCCCACAACCCATACTGGAGCATATTACTTAGTTAAAGAGATGTGGGCGTTTCCTGGTTCTGATAGGAAACAGGAAGCTTCAGAAATAGATTTTAATGTCTTCTTAAAGGTACAGAATTATTTTCTGTATCAGCACCACCTCAAGTGTCAAGTTGTTTGTTTTGTACAAATCAGCAGTGTCAGCAAAATAGTCTGCTTCCAGTGATCACAAGTAGTCTGTGCGATCATTTGTAAAATCATCACACATTTTACAGTAAATGACCTTAAAATGTGTATATTTTGAATGGACTTTAGTATATGACCGATATGCAGTGTATATATTTCCATTCCCATTCTTCAGTGTTTCCCTTGGTTTCAGGAAGATTGTTTGACTCAAAAGTTACAGCAAATACCTCGACTGCTTTTTATTTCCCCCTCTCCTTTTTTCACATTGATGACTTACAAATCCGAGTCCAATCAAATCAGACAAATGTCCAAATCAGCAACACGACGAATAACATCAGGTTTTATAGTCTCGCCTTTTTTCCACTCTTTCCTCCCCCAACTATAACTTGCACTTAGTAAAATGTAGATTTCAAAATCTAAAAGTAGATTTTAGTAAAAGAGGCTGCTACGATTTATAGTGTGGTTACAGTGGATTTAGGGGAATCGGAGTCGATTGCACATCACATTTTGAGAATTTTATTTAAAAAGTAGTAAACACTCGCCCTGCCTTGACGGGTTTCGATTATGGATGAGTGGAAAACCATGACTCTTTTCCATTTCGCTCCACGTTTATGCATGGCTTTGTGTTGGTCTGAATGGAAGTGTTCACCTGCCAGAGCTACCTCATCAATTCAGTGGTATCTTGTTCTAACGACAAAGTTTTGTGACAGTAAGACATAAAAATATGCTTCTCTGACAGATTATGACTTAGGATCTCCCTCTGGTTCCCGTCTTCTCGCTCTGTTTTCTTAAATATCTAGCACAACAAACTTGACTGGTACAGACTTTCTTGTTTAAAAGAGAGCATATTTTAGTTTTAATGACATGTAAATCTTGGTATATATTAACAAGAAGCATTTCTGCACCTGAATTTTTCCCATCAGGATATTAAACGCATCCATACGTCTGAAACATAAAATCCAAATACAACACATTTAATTTTACGTTTGTAATGTGAGGAATTGTGAAAGTCAAGGTGTTTAAATAGTTTTGCAAGACACATTACATCATGCTCCTTCCCTCTATATATTTATATATATATACAAATAAATAGATATACTAGCAATAAATGCATAAATTGTGCTAACATGTTTGTTTTACCTTCAGAGTTTCCCCCAGAAAACCTTGTAAACCCGGTGGTACTGGAGCAGTCCACCAGCAACCCAACGTGCTTTGGTGTTTAAAAAAATAGTAAAAGTCACAAAAATTTGGAGGTGCACAAGCAGGCGTCATAAATTGGGTATAATAGTGTGTGAGGCCAACAGGCAGGTGATCACACCGTTCAATGCATCAGCTATAGAACTTGTCTTCATTTTCACTGTTACTGGCATATAGCAAACCCTATTTCAAATAAATGAATGACACTTAGCCTGGTGGGGGGGACAAGTAAAGTCTGATAACCCACCAGGCTTATGATACTCAGAGGAGCAACTTTGTTGCCTTCTCTGTCAGTCCCCACATTGAATTTTTCTGAGTTGAAGACAAAACATGGGAATCCCAGTAAAGTCTGTGGTTCTGCTTGTTCTGCAGCTCAGCTGGAGCTGGTTAAAGCATCTTTGTTCTCGTTCACGTTGTCAAGGACACTCAACTGTCTCTTGTCGGTCCTGCTGTCCTGTTCGGTGCTGGAGTTACCAACGCTGGTTCCGCTAATGTCTCGGGTGCGGAACACACTCATCACGAAGCGCCGGACCTCCTTCCTCACCGAGGTGGACAGTAGGAAGAACATGACGGGGTCCAGGCAGCTGTTGAGAGCAGAAAGCACCAGCGAAATCTCGTTGAACTTGTCGGCCAAGTTGCGCATCTCCACGGTCTCGTTGGTGATCTGGGTTTTTATGTAGAAGCCCCGGAAGATGTGGTAGGGGACGAAGCAGACGACAAACAAAAACAGGACAAAGAAGGACTTGCGGGCGACTCGACCGTAGTGGGAGGCTGTGGGCAGGTCCGGTCTCTGCTGCGACCTCCGCAGGAGTTTCAGGGCGATCTTTCCATAGGACAACACCAGAGAGGCGAAGACCAACCAGAAGACGACCAGCATAAAGATGTTGATGTGTGCTTTCCTCATGTCTTCCTGCGGAATTGTCTTGTATTGGAAACACCTGAAAACGAAAAATAACCAATCACCTGTTGGGACTTTTGAAGCAAAGCACAAGACCGATGTGTAATCTCTTCGAACTACCACTTACTTTTTCTGATCGACAGTTTTGTCATTGCTTTTAAGGACAAATGGGATCATGAGCGCCAGGGCCACCGCCCAAATGACGGCGCAGACAACGATGCTCCACTTTGGGGAGCGCAGCTTACGCCGAGTACGTGCGCCGCCGTAGATCTTTAGATAGCGGTCGATGCTGATCAGCCCCAGCAGGGTGATGCTGACATACATGTTCATGTAGAAGAGGAATCCCACTAGCTTGCACATTGGGTGCCCTAGCTCCCACACGTTCTGGTGGAGGTGGTACTGGATCCTGAACGGCAAACAGACAACCAGCAGCAGGTCCGCAAGCGCCAGGTTCATGAGGAAGATCCGTAAGGAGTTCTTCTTGGAGTGAACGAAGAAGAAAACCCAGAGAGCCACCAGATTCCCGGTGAGACCCAGGATGAAGATGATGGAGTAGAGCACGGCCAGCGGGGTCCGGAGCATCTCGTCGTCCATCTGTTCGCTGGCGTTACACGCGTTTGAGACGTTCGGGGTCGTGACAGCGAAGGTCATCATGGCGTTGTGATTCTCAACCCTACCCAGTGACAGATGAGATGAAAGGAGAGGGGTTTTCATTGTAGTTCACTTTTAGTTTGTGATATTATGTTTTGTCTAATTCAGTTAATTTTGCTTTATATTTTTAGTGTGTTATAATAACTATGATAACTTTGGTAGTTTTTTCTGTAAGATAAAAAACGTTAGCTCTATTTCATTTATTTGTTGACAACGCAGGCAAAACTTTCTGCCTAATATTTGTTGCACTTCCTTAAGTTACCAATCTGTTGTTGTATCTGACTTTGTTTCTAATCTTGCAAAAACCATCTGCTGGTTGGACTGAACGAGCAAATACATTCAAAGATTACTGTGAGGTCTCCTCATCAGCACATCTGCGGAAACTAACGGTAAAAGCAGAAGGAAGCTATTTTGACATTTCTATAACCTGCTTTGTATTTTTCACTGCAGAAAAAGTGGAGAAAAATTCATAAAACTCACCTTGTATTTGAGCAAATTCACATTTGACTTTCCTTAGAGTTGAATCAGTACAAAATGAATCCTAAGCAAATAGACGACTTAGAAAGTTCCAGATCTCCTTCTCATTTTTTGTGTATGTTCAGATGCATAAATAGAAGCAGAATGAAGTGAAACTAGTTCTCTGATGAGTCTTCTTCGATCTACAGCCAACGCTCTGGTCATTGCCTCTGCCTGCTGTGAGAGGCTGCGCTCTTCAAAGCGCCGATGTGCAGAATGCTGGGGTGTTGAGCAAGCAGCTGCGCTGTGAGCGCGGCTGCTCCCCCCTCTTTTCTCTCACGTTCTGTACGCAGCAGAGGCATGTAGGCAGGATCTGATTACAGCTCTAGTGGAGACAGTTTGGAGAAGAAATGACACCTATCAGTACTGCTGTGTGCGCCCACAGCCATTAGATCAGTGTTGTCAGAGGGAAGCTAAGCCAGTTTGGAGCTGGCAAGCTGTGACAATTCATTTCTGCCCAAACACTGTGACTTTTAAAACTGTAACCTTAATATGATGGGGGTGAAAGGTGCTTTCTAGTTTTGGCAAAATCTCAAATTAGGTCATTAATAGTTATGGTTGATACCCGCCGTTGCCTGGTTAAGATTCAACAATTGCTTTGTGGAACGTATTTATTCTAGGAAAATTTCTCTGTTTGCTTTTTTTGTCCTAGTGTCCGTCTGCATCATAGGGAAAGTTCCTTCCGACTGACGCTGTTGCATGGGTGATTGGGGTTGCATGTGTTTTTCTGTCTATTATTGCCATGCTAGCAGAGTTTATGGCAACATTTACAAGCTTTTTTTCTGCAGCAGTGCTTTCTGCGCATGATGTTTTCACTCCTCCACAGTGGAGGAGTCTTTCACTTCACTCTGAGATTTTATATTTATGCATATAAAAATAAATATATATATAAATACACTGACATGATTATACTGAAGTGTCATCTGTATCAAAAACCCTATCAGTAATAAGTATATTTTGACACCTCGAGGTTTCGTTAGGAAGTGCTTTGAAGACAAATATGCAGGCTTGGAAACTAGCCGTAAACAGAAACAATCAGAAACCTCCACAATCAGAGCTTCCATAGAACGTTAATGTTGACCCATTTTACCGGCCATTTATGTTGCAGCGCTGTAAACCACTTCCATCACATTACATCATTTTCACATTAATGCATTTCTCCTAATTGTTCTAGGGTCTGAGGTCAGATGCATATCGCAAATAATCTGTGTGACACTACACTCCCCCACTGTGATTAAACTGTGTGTGAGTGTGTGTGAAGTCACTGTGACGACTTGGGTGTGTCGTCGCTCACATGATTTGTGTGTTATTTTGAAGGAACTTCACCCTCTAATTAGCCAAATGCCACCATGAACTGATGAGCCTCCGTTCCTCTGCTCTCACCCTCAGCCTCACTGTGTGCTGCTGGCGTCCAAAGAGAACTCTGCTCCCGTCAAACTTGGTGGGTTTGGCGTCGCCATCCAGCTCGGAGAGTCCGGATTGGTGGCAGGAGGTAAAGTAAACGCACCACAGTCGGCTCGCTCCGCAGAGTTCAGAATGCTCACATTCCCATGACCTTCCCACTTTTCATGTGGGAAACCTGTATGTAAAAAGAAACAATTTAAAAATCATATCAAAAGCAAACGTGGTTTCTGTGACGCTGCTTATACTGTTTACAGGAAATCATCTTTTCAACACTAACTGAGAAGCTTCACAGGTGTTTTTTTTCTTAAAGTCTTCCTAGCTGGGTTTTATTTCCTTCTCCGAAAAATAAAAATAAATCCAGTTAAGGATTTGCTCAGACACGCTCATGATGGCTTATCGCCAAGTCAAACATAGAGTTGACAATTTCAGCTATGTAACTGAATCCAGTCTAAAGCACACTTATGAGACACTTTAAGTCTGTCTCAGATCCAGTAAGTAGCAAAAACACGTTTAAGTTCTTCATATGTTGTCATGTCAGAGCCACAAAACTCGCTAAATTTTACTGAGATGTGATTAACGCAAAGTAGTTCATAATTGTGAGGAGAAAAACATGTCATGGTTTTCAAAATGAAATAAAACTTTGACATAACACCGGCCACAATGTGGCGGGTTTGTAATCAGTCTGAAAATCTCACTGTTAAAGTTCACATTCAACAATGGAAAGAGAGTGGAAGAACTGCAGCCCTTCCACTGCCGGAGACGTCTAAAAAGCATCTGGACAAGGAGAGTGTCAGTCAGGGAAGAAGCTAAGAGGTTCGTGGTAACTTTGGAGGAGCTGCGGAGATCCACAGTTGACCGTTTTACATCTATTCTTCCCGGTCTTAAAAAGTCTTAAATTCACGTATCTAAAATTAAGGCCTCGATATGTAAGTCAGCCTTAACTACAATAGTTACCGCCCTTAAAGTGTATCATGAAAGGATTATTTAATCTTATGTAGTTTTAGTTCCTTGTGGGACTTTGTGTCATGCATAAGTTTGAGTTGTGGTCAGACATCTTCGTTGCATTCTGTGACTTACCGCTAACCAGCTGCTAACATACCCTTGCTTGCTACAACCACAAAATTACATACAGACAAATGCAATTGGTCAGTTGGCTGAAGGAGAGCTAGCGATGGTCGCCTCCTGCTTGGCCAGCAATCAGAGTCAACACTGTGTGGCGTAATGGGTCTGTAAACTTGCATAGCCAAAAGTTTCAGACTAACACAGACTAACACCTGTAAACCCCACAGCCAGGTGTCTATCAGTCTGCCATCAGCTGCTGCTGATGCTGGTACGGGTTCTCAGAAGGAGACAGCAGCTGGTCCTCTTCCTGTTTGCCTTTATTGAACAGAATATGCGACTGGGATCGGTGCAATTTAAAATGATTGACGCAGGTCAAACGAGTTTCACATTTTATTTTGTGTGATAATGAAATACTCCACAAGCCTCAGACGTGTCCATGTTCTTCATCTCATCTACTTCTCTACTTCTCCATCCTTACAGTTTGACTCAGTCTCACAATGAGGCTGTCAAACTCCAGTCTCTGCTTTTCTTCTGTTTCCTACAAAATGCACTTATTCTCAGTCTTCCACAGAAACTGTTTCTAATGTGTGTTGCGTCTTTCTTGTATGTGTGAGAAATCCTTTTATCTCCCATGGCAACCAGTCAACTGGGTGTCCTTTAAGCCCCGCCTTCAAGGACAAAGCCCATCCTCTGAGCTGTAGTTTCTAAACTTTAAAGCTTCTGCCTCACTGAACAGCCCTCCTCTGGGACTCCCCCACTCAGCTCCTTCAGGCTAGCTAGCAGCAATTAGCAAACATCTAGTGGAGCTGCATCTGCAGAGCCAATTAATGGCAGCTGCTTCTCAGGAGTTGTTAAAGGGTTAATAGAAGAGTGATGCTGTGATGACTTCCTGAAGGCAAAGTTTTAGAAAGAGCAGAAGCTTCTTAAGAAGACAGAGGCCCAATTTCAAGCCATTCAAATACAATATCAAATTTCTTTTGAGCCATATTTGATATATGCAGCATTTTTATAACAACTGAAGGTAATTTGTTACTTCACTGTGCTGTAAGATGATTCTGTGTGGATGGACAAAACATCATAGTGCCCCTTTAAAAATTTTAAATAGAGCTACAAGCGGAAAACATTGATCTGGTCAGCTGAAGAGTGGTGCATTTCTCAGGTCCTGGATCAGGTCTTTGCAGCTTTCCTATTTCCTAAACACAAACTTTCACTTCTCATGTGTCTGCTGTGGATACTTCTACACCTGGCACTTCTCTCTTTTGTTCTCTGACACCAGGTGCCACATTTTTACCTAATACCTCTTCGGAATTCACCTTGTTGTCGTTGGAAAAATACGGGCTTCATATGCGTCTTATCTTCTAAGGAAATGAGAACAAGGACTGCCTGCAATACATGTCCCACGTTTTCCATTTAACTAGTTTTCCTCTTTTTTGGCTCTGACTCATCCTCTGACTTGGTTCCATTTTTTGATGCCTGAAAAGTTGTCTGGTCTGTGGTTTAATAATCTAGATAATATTTCTTTGAAAACAGGCACTAAGACTGATACTATGACCAATCATAAAACAAGGAATAAATATTACATGTTGTCAAATACGTTGCTTAATGTTCCGGTTACTATGAATCAGAGGCAGCTCTAAACAGGCTTGGGTTTAGTAATGGTTTAAAGTAAATCAGTGTTCAACAAGTTGTGCAGTTTCCTGGAAGTTTGTTCCAGATTTGACTAAAAGAAACAGCATAGAAAAAAAAAACATGAACTTCCTTCCAAACAGGAATGCTTGGCAAATATTATTTTCTTTTTTTTTTTTTCATATTTTGTACCATGGCAACTGATCGTACTGCATTTGGATGTTAGATGATAGACCAACCCAAGGTGGTTCATATAAGGAAGTAAAGGAAAATGAGACATGGTTTTTATAATGTTAGCTCAGAAGCTACATGTTAAAGTTTGCAGTGTGGATTTATTCAGCCCCATTTACTCTGGTTGCCCTGAGTAAAATCCAGTACAACCACTCAGAAGTCACCTAAGCCATTACTTGTAAGACTTTCAATTTGAAGGGGAAAAAAACTACAAATACATATTTCTTTCTTTCCACTTTACAATTACGTGTCGCATTGTGTCGTAAAGAACAGATTCTCAGATTGATAAACTTTCAATTCTAATGAACATTTAAACACTGGAACTGGACGACATTTGGAATATTTGATATAAATAAAAAAAACAAACATAATGAACAAGAAATGAAATAAATCATTAACTCTGTAAGTAAAATTATCTTTCAAAAAAAGGGATAGTTGAGACCAAAACACCAGACTGAAGGCTTTTAACAAAAAAAAAACAAAAAAAGGTAAAGAGAGAGAAAATCAAGCAAATGAAAATGAGTTTCTTTTATCATGCAATTAATTGATTTACTGTGACAGGCCTCAGTCCTATCACATGAAACTGCTATAAAATCTGTTGATGTTTATGGTCCCAACATGATCAGACATAAAAAAATAAATAAAAATATGTGCGACAACTCTTCTAAAGTCTGTCTTGGTACAAGCTAGTTACAGCGAATACCATCCTCTTGGCTTTAATCATCAGAAGCTCTTCAGTCTTTGTTGCAACATAAAGAGTTGAAGTG